TTTTGTGGTCATAACCTGTCCTGAAATGCAATAATCTCCACTATTTTTTCACATCCTTCTTATCTCTGATTCTCAGAGAGTTTGGCCAGGGAACAGTCAGGATATATACTTAAAGAATTAAATTTGAAAGATCCTTTGGAAGGATCATCAAGAACAAAGAAATAAACACATGGAGAAGATACTGAATTCAAGGGCTGGGAAATCTCCATTGTAGAATGAGGCTAGTATGAGTTGAAAATAAAATCATGAGTTCCTGTCAAAAAGGACTTGTTTGTGTCACGGCTGCAAGTAGTGGAAAAATATTTTTTCTTTTCTATCAATTCCACACATTACACTCTGACTCTCTAAGCGTATCTGTAAGTTCCAAAGGCTATAACTGTGAATCGGAAATGTCTAGGAATTAAAATTATTTTTCTACAGGAAAAATAACACTCCGGAAGGGGGAGGGGTGGGCTAATTTCCCTTTTTCTAAGCTGACCTCCTGGGATGTTCAAAGGAATGTAGCTCTCCATTTTTGAATTTCACTTCCAGACTCTACAAGTGAAGAACACGGTGCAGGGAGCTGATCTGCTCCAGTTGTTATAGATAAAGCACAACAAACTCATCCACAACTATGTTGTTATGTTGTCCTGGCATTTCAAAAAGAGAGAGAATGGTCTGCATTTTAGTTTGTCAGTTTAAATCCGCTTTCTATGGCTCCAGGCTCAAAAATTCAGCTTCTACAATAGTTCCATAGGTGAATAATCTGGTTTTAAATGATCTTTCACAAGTAGAGGGCTGGCTAGTATATAATCTGTACTAGTTGACTTGCCAGTGTCATGTCCGCCTATTTCTTAATACCGTACCCATTCCCCCCCCTCCTCCTCCCTGCACTGGGTGGACAGACTCCCATCCCTGCTAAGGAGAGCGGACTCCAGCTTTTCTTATGTACAAAGTGGGCTGGTCTTCCAGACGGACTGGAATGTGCTTCCCCTAGCTTGCTCCTTTTCGTGAGGAGAGCTGAGCACAGTTCTGAATTCTCTAATGCAAGTTAGGCGCGCCTCCCTCTCTCTTATTTACGTGAGATGGGATCCTCTGAGGGATCGTTCTACTGGAAATCGGAGATTCCAGAAGAGGACCTTCTCTGAGGGTACAAAATGAAACAGACCTATTAAGTTCCCCCAATGCTGCTTGTTGCTGCTATGATGCTGTACGTTGGGAAGGGGCAGCAAAACAAAGATTCCTCACTGTGAGCTAAAGGCTATTTGTCAAAACATGCACTGCACATCCAACAAATCCAGCAATGGGGACTGTCCAACCTTGCCTGCTTCAATCAGCTGATTCACTCTAAAAGGGCAATCTTATTTCCAGCTGTAGAATGTATCTTGTTTCTACTGTCAATCTAGGAATAATCCTTTAGGGCGGCATTGCTCTGGGAGACATACTGTGTAGATACTTCCCTTCCTCTGCCAAGCTCTGTGAATTTTGGCAAGTCATTTCCACATAGAGCTATATGTGAGGAAAAAAATCAGTGTGGTAGGATAACAAAGGCCGCTTATCTATTTTGTGAACTAAGAACATTTGGAACCTTGGCAGTACTTCTTAGCTAGAAAATAAGAATTAATTCCTTTTGATCAATTGATCAGCCAATCTCTCTCTCTCTCTCTCTCTCTCTCTCTCTCTCTCTCTCTCTCTCTCTCTCTCTCTCTCTCTGTGTGTGTGTGTGTGTGTGTGTGTGTAAAACTGAAATAATAATAATACAGTGACAGACTGAAGCAGACAAATGAATATGAACAAATGAGTCATTGCCATGCAGGTTAGGTGACAGATTTCATTAGCCCCAAATTTATTCAACCTGTTGAGAAACAGATGGAAAAGTATCACTGTATCTCCTAAATTGGGGGAGCAGTAGACTTTTGTATGGCATCAGAGACTTACAACCCATCCTCATATTTACTGTTTAACCATCAAGCATTCCCATAATCATATGATCAAAATTTGGGTGCTTGGCAACCGGCAGCATGTATTTACAATGATGGCAACATCCCAGGATCATGTGATCACCACTTGCAATCTTCCCAGATGACTTCTAAGAAGCAAAATCAGTGGGGGAAGCTGGATTCACTTTTCTGGGGCAAAAAAAGGTGGAAATTCTGATCTCAGTTGTGGTTGTAAGTCAAGGATTACCTGTTGGTATCTGGAAATAAGCGTAGCAGTGTTCTTTCCTTTTATTTAAAGACCATGTTTAGCTTCTGCTGTTAATCCTTTCTCTTAATACTGTTGGTGTGAAAAAAGCAGAGAGATTTAATATTGCTGTGAAAAAGACTCATGTTAAGTTTGATTTTTGTCTGACACCCAGCTATTAATATACCCCTACACATTTTCTCACCATGTTGGCTGAGAATGAAGAGGGTTTGAGTCCAATATGTTTGGAAAACACTAGGATAGGCAAGTCTTTATTAAAAGCATAGGCCAGGAAAAATTGCCTCAGCAAAGAAAAAGGGATTCCCAAAGATCTTTCCATCACAAGTAGATAAGGTAAAGCCGAAAGCTCTAGCTGCACTTTTAGAGTTCAGGGTTCACAGGAATTCCTCGAAGCATAAATAAGATTAGTATATCAGGAGGCCCAGATATATAAGTACATACCAGAAAATCAGAGAGGTCAAAGGCTTTATTACTACAAGGAGAGAACATTTTAAAATTCCCACTTTGTAGAAGTGGCATTTTTATTTTTCCATCCTGCGGCTGAATTAGACATGGCCCATTCGGCCAATAAAACAGGGAAGAATTCAGAACACAGACGTCTAGTTCCATTAAGTTAGGAAAACTCAAGAGGGATAGTGAGGCGTTTCTTTATCTCCAGATAATTACATCTGTAACAGGAAAACATTAAATGGAGGAGGGTATACTATATTGGGATAAATATCTATCTAATTAGCTTTGAAATGGCAGTCTTCTCTAGGCAAGTAGGTAGAAATGGCTGTGGAAACCAAATTGAATGATGGATGGAATGAAAAGAAAGAAAAAGCAAAGACTTCATGAAATCTAGGATGGCCTTCAGTGCCAGCTGTATTGTACTGGATGGGTCTGAAGGGGAGGGAGAGATGTAAATACGGTAAAACTTTCATTAATTGATTATTCTGCTTTTGCCATGGCAGTTAAAAGGGAATTTCCTACCTCATCCCAACAAATCATCTGGAACTGATCATTTGCTAAGTTGTCCAATTCTCCATCTCCATATAATGTTTAATCAATGTTGGTGGAAAGTTCATCAACAGACTATGGGGAACCCTCTTCTCTCCTTACATTTTGCTGCAGTAGGGTGGAATAAGAGAACTAGAGTTCACCCTAAGGCAGTGGTGGCGAACCTATGGCATGGGTGCCAGAGGCGGCACTCAGAGCGCTCTCTGTGGGCACGCGCACTGTCGCCCCAGTCCTAGGCCTTCAGCTGGGTTTTATAAAACCTTTTCGCTTTAGGTCTCTGCCACCATGTGCAAAAAAAAAAAGGTTCAATCAATCAATTTCAACTTCTTGCGGGAAAAAAAAGATCTTGCAAAGTTGGAATTGATTGATTGAACTTTTTAGTTCCACCCAGTCTGCCGTTACCACCGCAGCCACGCCCAGCCAATGGGCCACACCCAGTCAATGGGCCACACCCATCCGGCACCCAACAATACATAAGTGGGTTTGGGGTTGCAGTTTGGGCACTCGGTCTCTAAAAGGTTCCCCATCACTGCCCTAAGGTATTAAGATTACAATAGGTGTGAATCTATTCCAGTCTTTTTTTATTATTCCCACCCCAACAGAATGTTGGAAATAAATTATGTAAAGGGATTTAGGATTATGCCTATCTGTCAGTCTGTCTATATGTCTTTCTATCAGCAAAACTGATGCAAACTGGATCGTATTTGAGGGGTGTGTGCATGAGGATAAATCAACAAACAAAAATGGAGTTAGAAAATGGGATAGATCTGATGGGGAATAATAAAGTTCAGAAACATGCATCCCAGTCCCCATTAGGGGACTGGAGGCTGAAACATATAAAGAAAGGTCGCTGGAATTGGGTACAACATGATAGCAGTGTTCCAATATCTCAGGGGTTGCCACAAGGAAGAGGAAGTCAAGCTATTCTCCAAAGCAGCTGAAGGCAGAACAAGAAGCAATGGATGGAAACTAATCAAGGGGAAAAGCAACCTACAGAAATTTCCTGACAGTTAGAACAATTAATCAGTGGAACAACTTGCCTCCAGAAGGTGTGGATGCTCCAGCACTGGAAGCTTTAAAGATGAGATTGGACAGCCATTTGTCTGAAATGATAGGGTTTCCTGCAGGGGGTTGGACTAGAAGACTTCCATGGGCCCTTTCAACTCTGTAATTCTGTTATCCCTATGGGAGACCCATAATAGAATGCTACCAATGGCTCTATTCTTAAGCCCCCACTTATCCTGGTCATGTGACCCAGAATGGAGCCACTCCTAACAGGTTGGAAAGAATTCTAGAAGCCATGCTAAGCATGCTTTCCATTAGTTTTTTTAAAAAATAATACTAATGTGTGCTGATGGCTATAATTGGTAACCCAAAACACTCATTACTGGCATTAACTCACTAACAGAAGTTCCTCATCTGGAGAAGGACATAGGAGATCTTCAATAAGTATTCACAGGAGGTGAATATTGTGTCATGGCCTGCAGTCTTCTCCAAACCAGTGGTGTTGGACTTAAAATCATACAATAGTAAGTTGAAAGGGACCATGGAGATCTTCTAGTCCAACCCCTGCTTAGGGAAGAAATCTTTATATCATGTCATACAAATGGTTATTCAGCCTTTGTTTGAAAACCACCAGCTCCCATGATTCTAGCAGGGGGACCGTTTCGCTGCTTAACAGTTGTCACGGCTAGGGAAATTCTCCTAATTCTGAGTTTGTATGTGTGTTGCTGTAATCAACACCTGGTTGCAAATTGATGACTTTTGGAGTTGAGGGAACCCGGATAGGAAAATCTCTTTTAGAAAATTATTAATCATTTTGGTGTATATGTGCGTTACTTTATTAAAAAAAATAAGGACACAAATAATTAAAAAGATGTCAAGAAAGGGAACTGATCAGTCATCTTGAATGGCAGTAGCTTACATTCAGTTTTTATGGCATTCATATTGGCAGTCTGGACCATACAGAAAGTATGGTTGTTTCTACCCTATAATGAAAATAACTTTGTGAATCGTAGGAAGAGGGTGTTGAAAGAGGAAGTATTTCCATGACTAGGATAACAATTTGATGCCTTCAAATCATGGTTGACTTATGGCAATTGCCCAGACAAGTCTCTACTATTTTCTTGGCAAGATTGCAGAAGTGGTTTTCCCTTGCCTATTTTCTAGGGCAGAGTGAGTGACTGGCCCAAGGTCACCTAGCTGGCTCATCCCTTAAGGCAGGACTAAAACTCATAATCTCCTGGTTTCTAGCCTAGTGCCTTAACCACTACGCCAAACTGGTTCCCATTCTACAACTACAACGGAAATATTCTATCTGTCCAGCTGATACCTTCAGAAACTGGCCTATGTTCCAGAATCCTGGGTCAAAACATAGTCTAGAGACACATTGTTTCTACAAAATATTCACATTAGAATCATGCTATTAATGTCTGATCCCGGGTGGATTTAAGTGCTACAGTCAGTTAAGGATGAAATGATCTGGATTACATTAAAACTCTGGATTTACCGCCAAAGTCTTGTCTCTAAGAAGCCAGTTATTGACATCAGTAGAAAGCACCATACCATAGTTGTGTTCGGAGCTGGCAGGAAGCCAACCCAAAGGGCTATCCACAGGAACCTTGAACTTAGCAGGTAGCATAGGCAGTGGCTTTCTCTTGGATATACTTCAGTAATCCTTTTGCAGTTTCTTCCAGCTCCTGCAGTTTTGTGGTTTTGCTTGTCATTTCTTTCTCGTTGTCCTCAAAGCGCTTCTCCAATTCTGAAAGAATAGCCAGAATTTTTTAAAAGCTTGGACATTACAGTCTTTGGAACACTTTCTTTACCCTGGTGTCTTCCAGAATCATAGGATTTATAATTCTGCAACACCCAGAATTTCTATCCAGCTTGGCAAAGCTGCAACTTTAGCTACACTAAGATGCAGACCAGGAATTTCCATTGCACCTAAAGGCTTCAGATTAGGAAAGACGTCCTGAAGTAGCAAGGTTTTTTTTACTCCATTAAGGAAAGTGAGGAGATGGATGAAACAAAATGCCAAAGCAGTTAAATTATGAAACGAGAAATGATGGATTCTGATCATTACTGTTACTTTAAAACTCAGAATTTTGGTGATAATATTGGCTCTGAACTTATTTTACAAAACTTGCCTTGATTTGAATAGCTGCACCAATATTAATTTAAATATCCTAGCATCTATTAAAATGACATGCAAACCATTTTCCAAGTCAGAATTTCCTTGAAATCATAGCTTTTTTACTTTTGGACATTTTCTGAAAACTCCAAGATAATTTTCATCATGCGACTTAACTGTGCTATGTTCGCATGGCATGCTTAACTAAGTCCCTAACTCCCTAAATAATCAGGATATTTATGATCATCTGCTATTGTTCAGTGGGTTGCTTAGCCTAGGGTAATGGTACACTGGGCTATGTAATCTCAAAGGTTTTATAGAAAAGGCAACTGGACTGTTTTTTCCTTGAGGAAGAAGAATAAAATGTTTCACTTCTCATCCAGTTCTGATGGCGGAGGGATAGAAGGATAGGTATTGACAGTTGAGATTGGATGGGGGTGAGTGGAAGGATAGATTCTTATAGGATTGGGGGGGGGGGGAAATGGAAGGATTGTATTTCTTTGCAGTCATCTGGATGTTAGCACTCTCCCTGAGACCTATTGAGGCCACTTGCGGATTTATCTGAGCCCACAGGGTCACCTGAATCAGAGTGCAATTGGTTGTGGAATCTTCCTGGAACTGCTGCAACGGCTGCATTGTAAAATAGAGATAAGTGGAATCTTATTCCTCCCCCTCTGTTGAGGGAGGGGTGTTCAGTTGTAACATAGATTATTATTCTATTATTTCACTCTTCTTTCAAACCAATGGTCCTCTCTATCCAGAATGTGGATTTTTATACTGAACAATGTAGCGCTGATCCCATACCAGCTGTCAGTAAATATCCATCATCCCCACCAATTCTTATTTTTTGAATATAATTGTATAATCAGAGAAGATACATGAGGTTGGGATTTAGCCAAACTCTCCTCTTGTATTCTCACCTTCCAGCTTTCTTTTGCTGCTGTTGGCCTTGTCTAGGAGATTCTGGGCTTCCTCCCTAAGATTTTTCAGCCTGAGCAGGACATCCTTGGGCTGTTTCTCCAATTCGTTCTGCAACTTTTGGTAGTTTTGCTTTACCTCGTCTACCTCCTTAGAGACAGAAGGAAAAATATCATTACAAAGCAAATTGGTAGAAATTGGCAATCAATCCCAGAGTAAATATAGGTGAAGAATGGTGAAGTGGTTGTCCTTGAGCTAACAGCTAGTCTATTTCTAGCAAACCTGGTAGATGAGGAAATTAGGTCCCAGAAATTAAGGATAGCGTGTAGGTTTCCATACCACCTTAATAATTGTTAGTGGAGTTTGCAAGCCATTTATAAACTTCTAGGGAGATCAAATGAAATGAAATTACCTATCTCACAACTTATCCAATTCAGCAACTACCCAGCATTTTTCTCTTCATCTGCTTGATCACTTGATCATTGGCTTGTCATTTACCATGTTTCTAGTCTGCCTGCAGGCCGTATTTTTGGCACTCTGGTTACTTGTATCGGTGACAAATATTTCTCCTGCAATCCTACTGATCCCTATTTTCCAGATATTCTAATAACAGATGTAAAGCATACAACAGTGTAACATCTGGCATAATGAACATATACACGCACATAGATTAACTGATTGTGGGCTCATTCTTCTGTTCCCTAACCGTGATATAAACAGACTTTAATCATCATTTTAATATGCCGTAACTTCATGATCTTGCCTCTTGGGCTCTTTTTCAGAGGGAGATTTAGCTATTTCAGTTTTAATGAACAGTGGTCTTTTGTATTTTTTTGAATTTCTGCTATGGACCTGATCTAGTATGCTTTCTTTAATTTCTTTAATTCAGTTTAGTCATAGTTTGACTCTGAATCTATTCTAGGCAGCTCACAATGTAGCAAAACAAGATAAAAGCACAATACTGTACAAAATAGATTGACAAGATGGGATCCAGCCACTCCATACAAAAACATACACAAAGCCCACATTTAACAAGGGGCTCCACCCCACCTCACTCAAAGCCTGAGCAAAGGCTTCATCAAGGATATGATTGATGATTAGGGAATGGGGTCTGCTCAGCATCTAATGGCCATTTTAGCTGCCATGAGAATGTCTGCTCTTCTCTCGTTCTCGGGCATTGCCCTCCATTGCCATTTTGGGGGTGGGGCATGAGAGAATGGCCATGTGGTTCCCATAGAGCAGTGATGACAAACCTTTTAGAGACTGAGTGCCCAAACTGCAACCCAAAATCCACTTATGCATCGTCGAGTGCCAGGTGGGTGTGGCCCATTGGGTGGGTGTGGCTGCAGTGATAACAGCAGAGTGGGTGGGACTAAAAAGTTCAATCAATCAATTCCAACTCTGCAAGATCTTTTTTTCCCGTGAGAAGTTGAAATTGACTGAGTGAACTTTTTTTTGTTTTGCACATGGCGACGGAGGCCTAAAGCGAAAAGGTTTTATAAAGCCCAGCTGAAGACCTAGGACTGGGGCGACAGCGCGTGCCCACAGAGAGGGCTCTGAGTGCTGCCTCTGGCACCTGTGCCATAGGTTCGCCACCACTGCCATAGAGACATCTGCCCATCTAATGCCTGTCGGATGCTTTCCAAAGCACTCCCCAGATCATACACTGTCTCCTTAAAAACATGGATTTAATTCTCTTTTGAAAAACTGCTACTCTGTGCTTCACAAAAGGTTGATTCAGATTGGCTAAGAAAGCCAGCTGCTGCCAGGCATGCTTTGGTGGTTCTGTCACCACTGAGTGCCTCACCGGCTTTTTGCTGCTTCTGCCAACAAGGAGTTTCATGTTTACTTGTCAATTTACTTTTGAGGGCAATCTAACAGGTAGCTAAACTGGCCGTTCCAGGACCCATCAACACACACCCAACTCTGCTCTACCACACATTGCAGAGAACAACTGGTGGTTGTTTTTGCCACTGGCAGGGGATGCTCAGTGAGACAGACAACAAAGCCGGAGGAATCTGCCAATGACTTTTCGTAACAGAGTTACAGAGTTGGAAGGGACCTTGGAGGTCTTCTAGTCCAACCCCCTGCTCAGGTAGGAAACCCTATGCCATTTCAGACAAATGGCTGTCCAGTCTTTTTTTAAAAACTTCCAGTGTTGGAGCACCCCCAACTTCTGCAGACAAGTAGTTCCATTGATTAATTGTTCTAACTGTTAGGAAATTTCTCCTTAATTCTAGGTTGCTTCTGTCCTTGACTAGTTTCTATCCATTGCTTCTTGTCCTGCCTTCAGATGCTTTGGAAAATAGCTTGACTCCCTCTTCTTTGTGGCAACCCCTGAGATACTGGAACGCTGCTATCATCACCCCTAGTCCTTCTTTTCATTAAACTAGACATAACCAATTCTTGCAATCATTCTTCATATGTTTTGGCCTCCAGTCCCCTAATCATTCTTGTTGCTCTTCTCTGTACTCTTTCTAGAGTCTCCCATACAGTATTGATACTAAAAGGACAGTTTCACTTGATGGGCTCATTATTGTGATAGAACAGGGATAGATTACCAGGACAGCAGATTTTAGACTGGTATACTTTTCTGTCCACTTGAGGATTGCCCTTTAACAAGGCCATCTGGCCATGTCGTGTTATTTGTTGCTTCATTACTTGCCTGCAACCCTCAGCAATTACTCAGAGAATATGCTTTGCATACTGAGGATGAAGATAGCCATTTTCTCACCAGGGACTAATTAACATTTTCGTAGCTCTTCTTGAAAACTGAGAATAAGATTCTTTAGGCACCCAGGCATCCTCCCTTCCTCACCATGGTGATGCCAAAATACTGTTTGCACTGTGATTTCATGATCTGAGTGCTGTCACTTAGTACAGTAGTTGAGTGATGACATTGCACAACGGTATGTAAGGAGAAGAACTGCATTGTGAGGTTGGGGCAACAATACAAATAGTCCTCGACTTACAACAGTTCGCTTTGTGACCATTTGAAGCACTCAAAAATGGCTTATGACTATTTTTCACAGTTATGACCATTTGCAGTATCTCCATAGTCATGTGATTTATATTCGGATGCTTGACAACTGCTTCGCATTTATGATTGTTGCAGTGCCCTGAGGCCATGGGAAAGCCAGATTCACTTAACAACCATGTTATTAAGCTGTGATTCACTTAATAACTGTGGCAAGAAAGGTTGTAAGATGGGGAAAAACTCACTTAACTATCTCGCTTAGCAGCTGTCTCACTTGAGCAATTTTCAGCTCAGTTGTGGTCGTAAGTCAAGGACTACCTGTATAAACTCAAGTAATTAAGAGACTTGCAGCTAAGGAATCAGCCAAAGTTTTGTGGGATGAATACTAATAATTTGAATAATCTTTTCTATATAACCCTGGGCAGAAAGACAACAGACTGTTCAAGGGAGGGAGAAACAGAGGACTTTCTGATGAAGATAGAAGAAGAAGGTACAACAAGCTGGGAAAACATGACAAGTAGGAGTTCTGGATTTCTCCTAATACGTTTTTCAACCTTGGCGACTGTCAAATGTGTGACCTACAATTCCCAGAATTCCTCATCTAGCATGAATTCTGGGAGTTGAAGTCCACACATCTTAAAGTTTCCAGGGTTGAGAAACACTGCACCATAAGGTGAGCCTACAGTTTGTCCCATAAGAAAGGCTGAGCGCCAAAGAATTGAGGCCTTTGAACTATGGTGTTGGAGAAGACTCCTGCGAGTCCCCTGGATTGCAAGGCGATCAAACTGGTCAATCCTAGAGGAGATCAACCCTGACTGCTCTTTAGAAGGCCAGATCCTGAAGTTGAAACTCAAGAACTTTGGCCCCCCAATGAGAAGGAAGGACTCAATGGAGAAGAGCCTAATGCTGGGAAAGATTGAGGGCAATAGAAGAAGGGGACGACAGAGAATGAGGTGGCTGGATGGAGTCACTGAAGCAGTAGGCGTGAACTTAAATGGACTCCAGAAGATGATAGAGGACAGGAAGGCCTGGAGGAACGTGGTCCATGGGGTCGCGATGGATCGGACACGACTTTGCAACTAAAAACCACAACAGTTTGTTACTACCACTACAAAAAAGCAGTTGCCTGTAATGAAAGTAATGACAGCAATGGGATTCTCACGTTTTTGAGCTGGAGTGCTATATTAGTGGCACGCTCAGCTTTTCCCGTGGCCTGCTGAGCCTGGCGCTGATTAGCCTGGGACTTCTTTTGTAAGGTGGCCACATCCTGTGCCAAGTCTTTCAGACGCCTTTCCAGTCGCAGTTCCTTGTTGAGGAGTGTGTCGAGCTGGCTCACAGCCTGAGAGAAAGGAAAGTCACAAAGCATGATTAAGGGTTGACTTTTGAGAAAGGTCACATTCACGCATCCACATTCAGGGCACATCCACACGAAAATCAGTTGTGGAATTGGGACTGACTCGGGAATCCTCCAGCGTGTCTTTGACACACAAAGATTGCAATGAATCGAAAGTTAACAATGCTTCTCAAATGTTTTCCTTCATTACCCAAAACTGCTTACCAGAAAGTCCTTTTTACTCAAAGTAGGTAAAATACTTTAAGTCAAATTTATTTATTTGTTTGTTTCTCTGTTTATTTGCATCCTGCCTTTATTATTTTTACCGATAACTCAAGGCGGGAAACACGTCCAACAGATCTTTCTCCTCCTATTTTCCCCACAATAACAACCCTGTGAAGTGAGTTGTGTTGAGAGAGAGTGACTGGCCCAAAGTCAGCCAGCTGGCTTTCGTGGTTAAGATGGAACTTGAACTCACAGTCTCCCGCTCTCTAATCTGGTGCCTTAACCACTAGAACAAAACGCCCCTGTTGTGAGTGGGAATAAACATGTGTGTTGATAACCCAAAGAAAAACCAGTTTTATCTAATTTTGGGTAATTTACCCAGGTTTGGGAAGCACTGCAATAGAATGTTAATCAAATATTGTAGAATGCTCTGACCAGTTTATAAGAATATGGGCAGAATTAAGAACAAAATACAGATATTGTAACAATCCAGCTACAAGCCATCCCTCCAGTCAACCGCTTGTCATGTGGTATTCAACATGGTATGAAATGGAGCACTAGTACAACTGGTCTATCAATTAATTTGCTAATAAATGGATAATAATAATAATAATAATAATAATAATAATAATAATAATAATAATAATAATGACAATGAATCACGCCCTTCATCCACGCAGTGACATTGATAGACTTTATCTACCAAGGCAAATAGGTGGGCGTGGAATGCTACAAGTACATCAGATGGTTGAAGAAGAAAAAATGGCTTTGGAAGAATATCTGAAGAACAATGATGAAGATGCACTGAAATTAGTATATCAGGAAGGCTTACTAACTACTGGAGAGACCAAACTGGCCTACAAGAAAGACCAAATGAAGAACAGAATAGAGGCATGGGAAGACAAAGCACTACATGGCCAATACATTAAAAAAATAGCTGGGAAAGCAGATAATAATAAAACCTGGCAATGGCTAAGAGCAGGAAAATTGAAGAAAGAGACCGAGGGACTAATTCTGGCTGCACAAGACCAAGCCTTAAGGACAAATGCATACAAAGTCAAAATTGAGAAGACAGCAACAGACAGTAAGTGCCGCCTATGCAAAGAAGCTGAAGAAACAGTGGACCACTTGGTAAGCTGTTGCAAGAAGATTGCACAAACTGATTACAAGCAGCGGCATGACAAAGTAGCAACAATGGTGCATTGGAAGATCTGCAAAAAATATCATTTGCCTGTAAGCAAAAACTGGTGGGATCATAAAATAGAGAAAGTCATAGAAAATGATAAAATTAAACTGCTCTGGGACTTCAGAATTCAAACAGACAAGCACCTGCAACATAACACCCCAGACTTAACAATTGTCGATAAGAAAGACAAAAAAGTCTGGATAGTGGACGTGGCAGTGCCTGGAGACAGCAGAATAGAAGAGAAAGAACTGGAGAAGATAACAAAATACAAAGACCTACAAATAGAAATAGAAAGACTGTGGCAAAAGCAAGCAAGGGTAGTACCAATAGTCATAGGCTCCTTGGCGCAATCCCAAAACAACTGGAGCACCACTTGAACACCATTGGCATTGACAAATTTGCTATTAGTCAATTGCAAAAGGCGGCCTTATTAGGAACTGCTTCCATCCTGCGACGATACCTGTAATACCATCAAACATCCACATCTGCCTATCCCAGGTCCTGGGTAAGGACTCGATAGGTAGACAAAATGCCAAATCCAGTCTGAACATCTGGCTGACTGTGCGATGATTGAGAATAATAATTGTTGAGTCCGTGGCGGGAAAACAGACACGAGAAGCAGCTGGAGTTCTCAGTTTCTTTTATTCAGCGTTCAGCTTACAGGAAGATGGCTTCAGCCTCGCCCAAACGCCTCGCAGCCTCTTATATAGGCAACTCCTGGGTAAATGGGTTACTTTTCCCGCGCCAGCACCCGCGCATGCGCACGGCGCTGGCGACAGCCTGTCTGGTCCCGGGCAGCTTTGCACCTGCCCGGGACTGCCTGCAAACGCCCGAGCCGTTTGCAAGGCTCGGGACATAACACCCCTTTCCCCCGGGCTAAAACTACTACCAACATACAACATTTATTTTATATGACATTTTGCTCCCCAGTGCTCCCACTGATTACTGGCTTTTGCCTTGCCAGCAATGTTATGTAATCTTCTAGATACTTAGGAGATTTCTTTGCTCTCTGTGACCTTCTTAGCTCTGGGTTACTGGCATAAGTCCCCTGACTGGAGGGAGGCGTGAGCCTGTTCTCTCTATTGTGCCCTGGTGTCTTCCAAGGACTGTGCCCCGATGCCTGGCCTGCTTGCTTGCCCACCGGGCTCGTCAGGCCAGGGCTTCTGTTGCTTTGTGACCTGGTTGACCTACCTAGCTGTAGACCCTCAGGCCCCTTGAAGTGATAGCCACTGCTGGGCGTCTCTGTAGAACCTCCTAGGTCAGTCCAAGACCTGTCAGGAGGCTGTCCATTCCCTGAACCCCATTCTGTGCTCGGGCTCGTGTGGGTTTCTGTACTTTCCCAAAACTCAGGTGTTCCCTGATTTGTGCTAGGGTTGTTGTAGTCGGGACTTGGTTCCTCGACTAGCTCTGTGTATGTTTGACCCCCTGTAGGATTTGGGGTAAGGTCAGGCCAACCTTGGGAATTGTGTGCCAGCTCTCTTGCGGGGAATGATTTGTTGGGATGCCCCCGGGTATCCTCCGTTGCTGGAGTGCTGTGTGATGTATGTGGAAAGTGAGTATGCCCCCGGGGTGACTCCCTGGCTGGAGTAGGCGTGAGTGCCTGTTGTGTGGGTAAGCTCCATGACTTCCTTTTCGGAGCAATTGCAGAATCCTGGGATGGGCCGTTTGTGGCTCCCTCAGTGGAGATGGGCAGTAGCTCTTGCCCTTCCCTTTGCTCCAAAGGGTCCCCCTCCCCCCCTGGAAAAGACCCAGGAGTCTCATCAGAAAAGTCTCGCCTAGAGCGAAGTTGGTCGATGTGCCGACGCAGGACACGACCGTTGTCCAGGGCAACCTCGTAGGAGAGAGGACCTGTGATCCTGGACACAGAAGCGGGGACCCATGTATGACCAGGCCCGTAATTGCGAGCCCAAACCGGGGCACCCACAAGTAGTTGTCTAGGTGCCCTAGGATGTGAGGTAGATGAAGGCAGTCTGTCCGGATGCAACCGGTCAAGTCTAGTAGTAAGTTGGCGCCCCCAACGAAGTTCAGCTGGACTTCTCCCTGTAGAAGTGGACGGTGTGGTGCGATAAGAAAGGAGAAAGTCAGCCAACCTGTGATGCCAGTCCCCGTAGGTGAGTCTCTTCAAGGCGTCCTTTGCGATGCGCACCATGCGTTCAGCCATACCGTTGGTGGACGGGTGAAAAGGCGCAGACGTGGCATGACGAATCAGGTTTGCCTGTAAGAAAGCTTGGAATTCGGAGGAGGTGAATTGAGGGCCGTTGTCGGACACAATGACATCTGGCAGCCCGTGTGCAGCAAAAATCCCCCTCAGTACCTGAATAGTCTTTGCAGTGGTGGTGGATGAGACAGGCACAACCTCAAGCCATTTTGAATGGCTGTCAACAAGGACCAAGAAGAACTGGCCCTGAAAGGGCCCAGCGTAGTCAATGTGCACCCTAGACCATGGGGACTGTGTTTCCTCCCATCTATGCACAGGAGCTTGGGGCATCTCTGGGCGAGATCGTTGGCACAGGTGGCATGCGTGTACCTTAGCCTCAATACCTTTATCTAAACCAGGCCACCACAAGTGGCTTCGTGCAAGAGCCTTCATACGAACAATGCCAGGATGACCCTCGTGGAGGGATTCTAAGACCCTAGTCCTCATTGAGGTGGGAATGACAACTCTGTTTCCCCAAAGCAGACAACCCTGAGAAAGGGACAGTTCGTTCCTTTTGGACCAGAAACTCTGAAACTCAGGACTAGGGCAGTGCTCAGGCCACCCGGACAGGACCCAGGAGCGGACACGTGAAAGTGTGTGATCTGTACCTGTTTCAGCGGTAACATCCCTGGCACTAAGAGGGAGCTCGGGCAAGGCTTGGATTGATAGAATGTTGACAGCTGGCGCGGGGTCAGCTTCTACTACTGGCAGAGGCAATCTACTGAGGCCATCAGCATGGCCCATTTCTTTCCCAGGCTTGTGGAGTAATGAAAAATCATATGCAGACAAAAAATAGACCACCTAAGCATTCTAGGGGAAATGATGTGGGGAGTCTGCTTACGTGTGGTAAACAGTCCCAGCAGAGGCTTATGGTCAGTGAAGACCGTGAAATGCCTGCCATATAGAAAATCGTGGAATTTTTTAATTCCAGCAACAACAGCCAGAGCCTCCCTGTCTATCTGAGCGTAGTTGCGCTCGGCAGAAGACAGTGTTCTGGAGTAGTATGCAATAGGAACCTGAGTTCCATCAGACCTGAGGTGACTCAGGACAGCTCCAACCCCGTAGGGGGACGCATCACAAGCGATGCACACAGGAAGAGACTCGTTGAAATGTGCAAGAACACTGTTAGAAGTGAGCAAGGCCTTGACTTCTTTAAAGCAAGCCTCATGTGCTTGTGACCACAGCCACACAGCTTGTTTGTCTAGTAGCCTGTGAAGAGGCTCAGCTACACTAGCTTTATGTGGAAGAAAAGAATTGTAGAAATTCAGGAGGCCTAAGAAGGCCTTTGGCCTGGGTGCTTCTAAAATAGCAGTTAGTTTGGATTCAGCAGGATGAATCCCAGCAGCATCAATTTTGAATCCCAGAAATTCAGTAGAAGGCACCCCAATCTTGCATTTG